CTTCTCGGTTTTATCAGAATTAATGCCTTTCACAAAATCGCCTAACAATATAAAAGCTGATTACGTCTTTTGAGAGGCCAGGGGCATGTTGTGCGCACCCAACTTCTTGGGAAAACTTTTCTTTCACGATTGTCAATACATCCAAAATGCTGTCAGAATGCAGCTTGTAGCTAGAAAATCACTCTGTAAACATGTTTTCTAGCTTGCTCACAAAGCTGTACTGGTGGTTAGATGGATACAACAGTCCACCTTTGTCACGAAAAGTGGTTAGACGAGTGAGCTGAAAATCTTCTCCTTGAGCTGGCATCGTGAGTAGTGTTATGCAAACTTCGCAGTTTGTTTTAATGACAAACTTTCGCGCAATACAGCCAGCAACATAAAAGATCAGCCTGGAATCACTTCTAGCAATACGCTGGTTGTGGTTAATAGGTGCTGGCACAAAACCAGGCTCATTCACAGTGCTTGCACTGCCAACTGAATTGTCTTGTGGCAGTGTGTCAGTAGCAGCATTGATCTCCAGCAATGAAGCTAGCTCGCCTTGGTCACAATCCCCCTGGCTAACTGTTTTCACGAGAAAATAGAATGACCCACAAGTAATGGTTAGCAAAAACTGAGTTGGCGTGGGGTGGTCGTTGCTGCCGGATGACTGACGTATAATACCAAATAAATTTTCTAATGGGTCTTGGCTAGTCTTTGATGTCATTATGTATTTAAATGCTACTTTCCCTGTCAAATAAGAAAGCATTTCTAGCACACTGGTTATAGTCACATGCAGTCCAGTCGCGTAGATTACATGCACGTAGTCCCGTAGCACGTACTTCGGCTGAAAATGAAGGTCACACACGGCAGCTGTGTCGACCAGGGCTTTGTCCGCTCGATGCAAATTTTTTTCCCATTGCTTCTTCGGGGCTGCATCCTTCGGAACGCCGAACAACGACGGCTTCTTGCTGCCCTTCACGTGGACGTAACCTGTGCAACAGCCTGGCGTAAAACAATGGTTTTGCATCACGGAAGCATTTTAACCTCGTTTGAGGGTCACTGCTTGTCAGGCCACATCACTGTTCGCCGAAGAACCTAGGGGATTGAGGATGCAAAGCGCGACGAGTTCTCAAAGTAACAAAACTCGCACACACCGACCGCCACTCCAAACAGGCAGCAACTGCCCCAGCGCCAACGCTTGCTACATTTAATGCGGCGGTGGCGCTACGCCGTGGAGGCGCGCCGAAGCACGTTTGTGTGACATTGGTGGCGTCACCGCAATGCATGGCGCCGGCCGGCGAGTGAGCCCACTACCCTATTCTAGCTCACTTTAACGCGGTCGACGCGTGCCAGTGGTTGCGCGCCCTTTTCCTCCACAGGCGCGACTAGACGCTTTTGACGCGTAGGCGCGTGCATACGCGTGCCAGTGGTTGGCACTTAACTGGCCCATTGAATTATTACTCCCACTCTATATATATATATATATATATATATATATATATATATATATATATATATATATATATATATAGAGAGAGAGAGAGAGAGAGAGAGAACTTTATTGACACGCTAGCACTTTGATATGAATTCTGATACACAGAGGTGACACGACTCGCTCATAAAATTCTGGGGCCGAGGAATGGCGCCTTAGCCCAATTACCGCGTCCAATATGCGACGCTCATCTTGCTATCACGCCTCTCTCTCTTTCTCTGCCCTATCGGAAAAAAACGAATGGTGGGCATGGTGGAAACCACCACCCACCATTATAGTGGATTAATGTAGTGGGTGAATGGTGGGAAACGCCCACCATGGCGCATGGTGGGTATGGTGGGTGCTGCAGTGCCGGCAACACTTGAGCGCGAAATGACGTCAGAATCACCGTGACGAGCTGCCACAAAAAATAAAAAAGAATTCTATAAAAACGGTATAAAAAACACCCTGCCCGTAAAAAAAAATAACAAGGCGCCACGGAGGATCGAACGTGCAACCTGCGGATTTCTATCCGAAGACGCTAACCACTGCGCCACACCAACATGACGGTGAGCGCGTGTTAAATTTTTAGTTAGCATATAAACTTAAGGTTCAACTTAAGTTATGTTTGTCGCGTACACAACATAGACAAGATCAACACCTGCTACTAAAAATTGCACATTTATTAAACACAAGCAACTGCGGCCTGTAACGATTGCCACTATGTTAATGACACTAGTGCTATTTTTTTTACAATTCACAAATTCAAGGGAAAAAAACCAAGTGGACTGGGGAGCAGCAACAGTTTACCGGCGGGGTCTGCCAAGTTTAATATCCGTTTCGCGCTCGTTCTAAAGAGCGACATCTGCTCACGCTTTATGACGCTTCTAGGCTCATTTCATAAATACGCCCGCCTAATTTATTTGATTGAGTATTGGGATGCTTTTCGCATAATGTAGAGGGCGGTCGCGCCAGTGCGATGCTGTAGCTCTTTCGCTAAAGCAACAACTACATAACGGCTTGGCCAAAACCATAAAGCCGGTCGTGGCCAAAACGAATGCAGTGTGCCGGAAACATTACGCTATCATAATGGTTCACCAAGCACACGAATTGCCACGTCTGAGTTCTCGTACAAAAGCTAGAGAAGTGCCGGCGAGTGCGACCGGCGGCTGTCGGTGAGAGGACACTTAATTACGTTCTCTGGGAGTGCTTTAATCGCGTCGCATCGATGTTTGTTGCTTCTTGAGCGGACACCATACACAATGAAAAATGCTTCATTTAGGTTAATTGATGCCATGTGGCTGCACTGTATAATCATACTTAATCGTCGTAATCGTGTATTCTGAAACCCAGAAGCACGGATAAGACAATTGTACGGGCTCGGTCAGTAGGCCTAACCTTTGGTGGAAATCATGGTGGTAGAACATGTAGTGTACAGATCCCAGCTTGGTACACTATATAAATTGCCCGCTATTATAAGCCCACCCATCATCTGCTTACTGCTTCCCAGCATTATCGCGATGGTGTTCAGAGCTTCTTAGCTTGGTACACCATGTGGCCCACCATAACAAGCAGCACCCATCATCTGCTTAGTGCTTCCCAGCATTATCGCAATGGTGGGAAGAGTTTCTCAGCTTGGTACACCATGTAGCCCACCATGATAAGCACCACCCACCATATGCTTAGGGCTTCCCAGCATTATCGCAATGGTGGGCAGAGTGTCCCATTATTGCCCACTATCGAGCCTCTGCTTTCCACCATCATTTCCACTTTACCCATCATCTGTGCACCATACAACCCAGTATGTCCCGGCATAACCACCATATTTTCCACTACGACCCACCATAGCCATCATAATTTCCACCATGCCCACTAATATTTCCACCATGCCCACTATTATTTCCACTACGCCCACCATGTTTTCCAGTATCCACCATGGCAATTTTTCCAATAGGGTGATTATGTTTTGGCGATAACATCTACAGATACCACAATAGTTTGTTTAATAAATTTATCATGGATGTTAGTCGTCGGGGTGGAGATGTACCAAGAGTCAATAAGGACACGTATATGAACGTTAAATGGGGCTATAGCTGCCAAACCCCAAAACATACATTCGGCAAACCCTCATTTATCAATGTACAGTAAATATTCGATTGCCTTTGTGAAGGTGCGTTTTACTTTCGCGTTTTACTGCCTCTATAACTCCAATTTCCAAGTTACCATAGGTAAGGCTGATCAGTTTTATCAGAGACTAAAGTGGAAACAATTTTTGGCACTTCAGAGTGGAAGAACTTTAACATGAAAACGATTCGTCATACTCATCTGCTCGCAAGAGCTTTCACAGAGCAGCAGTGATGATATACCTTTTTCAAAGAAAATTATTTTCCAGTCCATAAAAAGTTTGCTTGTTTTAATTCGTGACTACATCAACAAGTCACAGCAGAATTTAAGCATGAACACGGTGATGTAATATTATAGGGCCCCTGTGCAGCGCTTGCCTCTTCTGCAATACTACAGCGCAATACGCGGAAACGTCGTGTAGGCGACCCGCACCGCGAAGAACCTACAAGAAAAATCATCATAGTTGGCAAAACTTCACCGTGTTATAACATTGCCTCATAACATTTCCTTTTCACGTTAGAACATAATTGAGTTATTACTGTTGTGACAGAAAACTTCGCCTTACTTGTTGGTTCCCCAGCCTGTAGCCAAGAGCAAAAGGGACCACGGTCAAAAGGCGGGGGTGGGGGGACTCAGCCCTCCAACTTTTCACAGTAGGGGAGCTCGCGCCCCCCTTGCCCCCCTGGCTGGTAATCCTATGTTAAGAAGCCTAATCGAAAACCTCAACGGCAGGATCCCTACTCGCAGCCATAGTAGACAGCCATAGAGTTATTATACAGGCTATAGTGTACTAGAATATATTCTAGTTCACAATAATACAGACTATATGCTCGCAGTGGCTGCTCAGGCCGTAAACGGTAAAAGGAGGATGAGAGCCAGTAAAACCCCTCAATACAGAGAAAGTAGCAACACTCTCCTCCATATGCTTTCCAAAGTGTCCAACCACGGAGGAAGAAAAATTCCTTCCTCCGTGAGCCCAAGCCTCCCCCCCCCCCCCCCCCCCGCCCAAGTGTCCAAACCTCATCCATATCCTCTCCCGAACAGCACCGCACAGAACAGGCCACCGTGCGGGACCCGGTTTGTGCCACTTTTTTTTTTATCAAGAATGCCATGTCACGCTGATAACACGCGCGATGCTCGTCGCGGCCCGAGAGGCGGAAGAGAAGTATGCGCGGCGCGGCGGTCAAAAGAATGCGGTACTTTTTAAGCAGGCTTTGGACCGGCCGTGACACAATACAGGCAACGTTATGCCGGAACTTATAAAAAATATATATCAACGCTGGTAATATTTAGACCTCATTTTTGTACATTTAAAGTATTTTGTCTGCATAGGCAAAGTTAAAATGTTAACTTTAAGGGTAGCTGAATTGAAACTAGCGGAAACGAATACTCCATTAGCAACATTGGGCGCCACATTAAAATGCACCTTTCCTTTCTCCGTGTTAAAATGGGTGTTTTCAGCGGTTTAGCTGGAACTTGCATTACTCGTGTGATTAGGCTGCTTAAGCGGACTATGTGTATGCATCAGAACCGCTTAAATTTCGATTGATTCGAACGGATATTTCTCGGCTGACAATGGACATTCAACAGCTGCCGGAAACCCTTCTGCTTGAGATATTTATTCACCTGAAGTTCAAGGAACTTTGTTCATGCGCAGGGTAACTACCATCACCTCTATGTTTTTCACGTTTACGTACACCTGTGTTAGTTTGAGCAAGCTAGAACATCGAAAAGTTAGTGCTTACGTCGCATGCCTTTCTTTCACTATTTATGCGTGGGATATGCACAGGGTTTTTCATGAACATTGGGCTTGAATTAGACGATGACTCCCGTGTACTGGCGTGACGTGCTCGCCTAATAAAACTGCGTCAAAATAGTCTTTTAGCCGGTTACGGAAAAACGGTACGGAAATATGGTGTGATATCACCGTACCGCTCCACCTTTCTTGATCTTTGTGCCTTAGCCACTTCCAGTCACAGAGTTGATATACTGAGTCTTTATATTAACTCTATGCTTCCAGTGAAGGGATACTAAGACCACAGATGCTTATTAAAGATTGGCGAGACTGTCTGTTTTTTGTGCGCTTTAACTGATAGTTATTAAAGATTGCCACAGTTTCCGTATCAGCAGCGCGAGACGACACCACAGATATCAGTTGTATAGAAGGAATACAAGACACACGCCATTGCCTCCGCTGCACACATAGCGCTGTCTGACCACTGATACTTTATTGAAACAAAGGTGGCCGGATGATGTACAGGAAACGTGCGCAGATGGAACATTAGTTCCGGCAGAAGGCGTCGTGTATCACAGTCCAGGTGTTTGATTTCTTTCTTCATGGGGCAGGGCAACTTTGATATCACGTGTGACTTCTGCATCACTCTGGTTATACCATCACAAATGTTTGCCTATCACACTGCAATCTTTTTACGTTGGTTCACAAGGTCATTCTCGTCAAATCGACTAGTGTTTGCCCGCATGACCACTAGTGGCCACGCGCGCGACATTGTTATGGTGTTCCCTTTTAGTCTTCGGTTTTTCACACGACTACTGCGGGGAATAGATTACACCTTTTTTACTCTCTTCGAACAGCTTGACATGCCTGACTGAACATCCATGTGATTTACCTTTCCCACGGTTAACTTTTTTACACATGCCAGCCAATTTGGTGGATGCAGAAAAGACTGTTTCCACACCTGCACGTTTTCTGATTCTTTTAATGTCGTGTGAAAAGGTGATGCATGTCAATAATGTTTTTTATTCTTTCACTTTGTGGGTCTGACTCGCTGGCTTCTCATGTTATAAGGCTACACCTTAGTTTTTGTGCAACAGGCTCAGAAGGGTAGCCAGCTTTCGTGAGCATTGTGCCTTAAGGGGACGAATATTTATGGAGAACAACAGAAAGCTCACCGGTCACCAAGTCTAATCACAGAATGGAAAAATGCTACGAAAGATTTGTAGTCAAAATTTTTCTACCTGCAGCGACTATGAAGTCTCGCATGCTGCAAATAGTGAGCTTCAGGAGTGGTTCGTGTTTGAGCGTGGTGGTGCACTGCGTGTGCGCCCGATACGTGTGAATGCGCTGCAGCTCGGCTTGAGCCACTAGTGGTCACGACGGCAGTGCCGCTTGATTCTCACTCTGCAACTCTTTTTACGTCATAAGCAGCACAGCATAGGGTGGGGCTGGATAATAAAATGCATACTCTGATTTTGAGGACTGTCGTGCATAGCAGCATCAAACTATGCAGCTACGTACAGGAAAGGGATCAATTACATGTCCAGCTTGACGGCTCTCCTACTAGGCTGCTCAACATAACCATTTTTGTTACTTATAAGTGTGCTTTAAAAATACAAATCCTAGTCACAATGCGAAAAGAAAGCTGGAATCTGTCATCATATTTAATGGTCTTTTCATATCTACTAAGGTCTTATCACACTAAGGTACTTGGCTGCTCACCCGCAGGTCGCGGGATTGAATTCCGGCTGCGGCGGCTGCACTTTGGATGGAGGTCAAATGCTGTAGGCCCGTGCGCTCAGATTTGGGTGTAGGTTAAGGAACCCCAGGTGTTTGAAATTTCCAGAGTCCTCCACTGCGGCGGTTCTCATAATCATATGGTGGTTTTGGGACGTTAAACCCGACATATCAAGATCTTATCACACGGTAGGCCCAGTTGTCGGTCTTTTTATTTCTGTGGTGTGCTCTTTTAACAAGTTTTAAATAGGCTGTAGCACAAGAAAAGACGAATTTTTGAGCTCTGGGCTTATATGACCAGCACACATAAGAGGGCTTGAAGTGAACTGAAATGTCTAAAAATCGAATGGTATTGTAGGTTCACTAAGTTCAGTAAAAGCATCATGACGATGTCGCGCGGGTGTAGATACTTGTAGTCAAGTGCATTGCTCGTTGGGCAAGTTGGTACATACTTAAGCTCGGAGAAAAGAAACAAACTGAGAGGCAGAAGCTGAGACAGTGAACACAGAGGCGGCTACTAACAACTGACGTTTATTTTGAAAAACACTTCCTCCTAAGTCCGTACAGAGCATGCGCAATAGCACCATACTAGATCACTGTGCCAATATTATCCATGCAAGTTATCATTGTTTGAGAAAGTCGCACTCTTTCCTGGTGAAAAACCCAAAAAAATGAGGATTACCATATTCGGAAACTTCTTCTGAAAAAATGAGTATGTACAGTTTCTGTTCCGTCCACACATGTTTCTTGTACGTTTCTTCCAGTGGTATGAAATATCTCGCTGGTTTCCAATAAAAGATCAGTTTTCAGTCAGCACTGCCTGTGTCTTGTGTGCTTTCCTTTCTGTAGAGTCTCTTGTGCTGTAAATATGGAAACCAGAAATCAACTTGCCCAACATATTGCTTTGTGGTCCTGTATAGTTATCACGTCTCATTGTTGCCTCTCAACTGATGCATTCCTAACGAGGGTTCTGTGGTTCAGTGGACGCCCTCTCGCTGGAACTAGGAGGGGCTAAAGCACAAGAAATGAGAAAGAAGCTACTAGTTCTTTTACTTGCTGAAAGACTAGTGCTAAGACAATGAACTGCTGTAGAGTATGCATTTGAACTGGTTGGTTCACGATCTCGAGTAGAAAACAGCGCTGAAAGATGGGATGAATAAAGGACACAAACCACGGTGCTAACAGCCATATGTGTTTTGTTCTTCCAGTCTTCAAATATATACTGCACCACGATCTCAAGGAAACAGGAAAGAAAAAAACAAACAAATAATATAACAATTATGATTTCCTCGTGCAGAGGCAAGTAATTGCCTAAAGGGACACTAAAGTAAAATAACAATTTACGTCAGAGTTAAAGCTCAATATATGAAAACTCCCAAAATGACAATAACATCAACTGCAATGCTACACCGAGAAATTGGGGTTTATGCACAAGAATACATGCGCCGCAGTAGGGCATTCTCAAAATGATCCTGATGACATCGGACAAGCCACCCACAATCAATCACCAGTAATTGATCTAGCTGCACTAAATAAGGAACCTTCCATGCATAAAGAGATGCAATGAAGTGCTGCTTGTTTTCATTTGATTCATGGAAAAAAGAACCACTGGCTGTTACGATGGGGAATGGTGCAAGTGGCTCAAAAATGCAGTTTTCACCTGGTTAAACTGGAGAGGGCGTGCCATCCAGTAGCGCCTAGTTGAACCGAGTAGGCTTGCAATTTTGAAGGCCATGGCAGAAAATTATTCAATGACCCTTGTTGGTGCTGTGGCTCCCACTACTTTTCCTCTGCTGCAACTATGGCGTCGTTGGCTGCGCATTAAAGTCGGGCAACGTTGTGCATGCAACAGGGACATCACACGTTCCGTTGACGCGGATAACTTGAAGTGTGCTAGCCCGATGCGAACACCTAAAACACGATTTTATTTCAAAATAAACCCTTTTGTGACACAAAAGTAACATTACGAGGTTTATGGACTGCTATTTCAACAATCGTCGACCTAATAGTTGCCTTTAGTGTTCCTTTAATGGGATGGAAAACCTAAATCCTTTAATAGGAGCGAAATGGAGGGCAGGCCGACACCTGCCTTGCCGCCGTTATAGCTGTAGTGTGCTTCAGAAATAAGACACCTGCTTTCATCTTGCTGTTATTACAGGAAAATCAAGTTATTAAAAGGTAACTGGCCACCGCTTTTGTTGCAGTGAAAAGACAGTTGAATATCTCTAGCTTGTTTTCAGATGTTCGCATGCTCGTGCATGCGTTCATTAGTGCACCGCCCTGTCTAGCCAACATAATAACGCTCTCGAAGAAGAGGAATCTTATCACTATTATGACAGTCGACATACTTTTGGCAGTGCTTCTTGCTAAATTTTTTGTCTTGGATCTCTTGATTTACTTGCTCACTCAGGCTACCTAGCTTATTTCTAGCTGGAAACCTAGCGTGGGCCCTGCTGACCACTTTTTTGAGATTATGTATCACCTTGTGCACTTGAGGAAAGACCCATACTAGTTGATGGATGCTCTGTCTAGCAACTTCATTTTCCTCATCACTTCGTCAAGCATTAAATATCTTTTCTGTGGGGTGGAGTTCATCGCTTCCGGATGGGAGAATGCTAGTATCATTAGCATGGAAATGAAATAAGTCTCATTCTTAGAAACCACCTCTGGCAAAGTTTGGTGGGCACATGTTTGCCGCCGCCCTCACGTATTTGACACCTATGATGACAGTGTCATGTACTGCTGTGCTCAGTATGAGCGACAGAACTCAAGTGTGTGGCCGAGTGCACTGCCAGGTTGTACAGTGGTGCCAACTATGGAATACACTTGAGTAGTCGGGAGAGCGTTCATTACTGTAAGTGCACATTGAAACCACTTGTTTGCTTTCACCCTTACCCTCCCTCACTTGAATGAGCCTTTTGCAGGTTTTGTTTGCTTTATTCGATGAAAAGTTCCATGCTTGTGCATTAAGTAATGGTAGCAGTTATCGCTTTTTGATCTGATATCACGACAGGGCAAAACTAATGCAAGCATGAAAGCAAGTAAAGACAATGCACACTTTCAGAAACAGCTTAACCGGTAACTATAACACATTTCCTGATCAGCGCCACTGTACAACTGTGCATTGCACTTGGCCCCGCAGTCCCATAGTGTAGCTCATGATCAGTGCAACAGTGCATTATGATT